GGGGGCGCTCGAGCTGCCAGAGAACTGACGCGCTTTCGCAACTGCTTTCAATCGAGACGTGGGCGACCGCGGCGGCTGGGAGGGGACCGCCGACGAAATGTGGCGGGCGGGGGGGGGCCGCCGTCGCTGCAACCGCGGCCGCCCTGCCAGGCAGGTAGAGTAGGCCAAACGTCAAGCCGTGGACTCATGGCGCTACTTTGGCGTTGCTGGGTCAGCGACGGCAGGCGAGAGCAGCCGACGAGCGCAATCTCGAGCGAGATCTGCGCAAGCGCGCCAGGAAGCAAGCCGAGCTGGACAGGGCGAAGTGGGCCCACGATTTTCTCGACACTGGCTGCTGGAAGCAGATCAGGAGAGAGAGGAGGCCCAAGCGCGTTGACGGCGGCGCATTGCGGGGCCGGGAAGGCAACCTCGTCGAGAGTGATTTGCGGGCAGACACAATGGCGAAGTATCTGAGGGAGGTCGCGTGGCACGCGCGCCCTGCAGGCCTCGTCGACGGCCCTCTCTCGAGCCAGAGCCCCCGATCAGCTTGGGGGCCATCAGCGTGGGGGAGGTATCCAGTGCTCTGAAGAAGGCCCGAGAGTGGCAAGGCCTCCGGTCCAGATGATATCCCCGCGGAGTTCTGGCAAGCCGCAGGCGGCGCGCAGCGAAGGATTCAACGGGTGGCTGGCGCGTGCAACGTCTGCTGGGCCACAGAGCAGGCGCCTTCAGACTGGCATGAAAGGAACCTCAGTTGCTGTAGTGCGCAAGGGAGCATGCAGGAATGTGACAAGCGCAAGCCAATTCATCTTGTCTGCGCGGTGTACAAACTTCTTTCTGCCTCACTTCTATTGTGGCGATTGAAGCGCGGAAGCGAAGGAGAAACGCAGACAAAAACGCACTTCGGCTTCATGACAGGGAGGGGCACTGAGGATGCTGTCTTCGCCGTCAGAAGACGCGTGGACGCAGAGCGGGCGCGCCAAGGTGGCAAAGTGGGCATGGTCGCATTGCGAATTGTTGCATCCGTCAACGTCGACGCGCTCATTGTCGCGCCCACGCGTTTCGGCTTGCCGCCGAAGACCCCGCGGAGGACCCAGCCCATCAACCGGGGCCGCCGCTCTTCAATCGTCTGCGCCGCGGGGGGGTCGGCCGAGCGAGCTCAGCTGTCCGGCATCTCACAAGGGCGCCAACAATCGCCCTTCCTCTTTGTCAAGCTGACGACGGTAAAAGTCGGGGATGCGACGAGGTCGCTGATTGCGGAGGCCCGGAAGAACTTGGATGACGGCTTGCTCGGTCTTCTCCTTTATGCAGATGACGCTCTTCTCATTGGGGCCCACGGGGGCAATCTGCAGGAGCTGTTGGGCGCCGCGGCCAAGGCGGGCGCCCGATGCGGCATGCCCCTCCGCTGGTCGAAATTTCAATTGGTTCATTGCTGGCCAGAGTTGCAGTTTGAGCACGCCCTTGGAGGAACCAGTTCCAAGCGCAGAGGTGACGCATTATCTCGGCGTCGACATCAGAGCGCATGGCAGCGCCGAAAGAGACCCCCCCGAAGAATCGGGAGGGCCTGGGGCGACTTCTGCCACTTCGCTGGTTTTGGATGCGCGCTCAGCTGACGACCGCAAAGAAACTTGAAGTGATCGCAGCCATCGTCGTCAGCCGGCTGCTAGATCTGCCCGCGCGCTTTTCGGCGCATGGCTTGCGAGCGAGCGAACTCAATTCGCAGCCGCGCGGGGCGCCGCGAAGTCCCAGCGTCCGCGCGCCACTCTTACTCCGCTGGACCTCCCAGGGGCCCAAAAACACGGCGTCAGTCGCACTCTTCGCAGCCCTCCGCGGGGCGCGAGCAGGACGAGGGAGGGAAAAGAAACGTGAGAAGAAAAAGAAGAAGACAAGGAAGAGGATGCATGACGCAGGAAGTGGGGGGCAGCAGGGCGGAGGTGGTGGCGGGGCGATGACATGGGCGAGGCTCCGCGGTCCGGCCTGCCCCGGGGCTTTTGCCCGGGGAGGCTTGCGAAGAAATTGGGGGTGGCCCTCCGCCTCGCGCCCGCGTCGCGGGCCGCCTGTTGACGCAGGCTCTCGGCGTCGTCTCGCAGCGCCCATTCGGGCGGCGATGCGCTCGAGCTGCGCGGGGGCGAAGGGGGGGGGGGGGGCGGGCAGGGGGGGGCGGCGGCGCAGAAGGAGCAGGAGAGGGGGGGCAAAGAACAGCTTCGGGCTCGCGATCTTCCCCCAGGACCGGCCAGACGGGGGGGGGCCTTGTTGGCCGGAGTCGGATCACTAGCTGAATTGGGCCTCCCTTGTGGTGTCGGAATGGGATCAGGATCACTGAACCCATGCATCTCCGGGTCACGCCTCGTGCCTTTTTTCTTCCCCTGCGCGAAGTCAAGAGCTTCAGTGAATTCCTCGTCCACTTCCCTGACACAAAAATCGCATAGGCCCTGTGCCGTGTCTGGGCGCCCCCTCATCCGCCTGCACGTCGCAGTCGTTGATGTCGGCATGCTGTGCCCCGATGGCCTTCAAGATAGCCCCCGCGATGTGTCTGCGCATGCTTTTTTTTTGGGGGGGGGGTATTCTTCCCGCTTGTTTAGAAGCCCCCTTGGAAGTCTTTCTGGCCCTGGGGGGCCATGCGGGAGCCTTTGGGGCGGGCGCCCTTGCCGTTGTTTTCAGCGCTGAGGAGGCGAGCGGCAAGCGTGGGCATGCGTAATTAAACCGATGAGCCTGGTGGGAGCTTTGCTTATATCGCTGGGGTCCCGGAGGTGGTCAACGCGCCCGTCGAAGCCGGCAGCGCAGCATGCTGGGCTGGCGCGGATGGCCCCAGGAGGGTTCCCAATGCAAGCTGGTCGGGGCCTTTGGGCGCCAGAGCGGAGGGAGAGGATGCCCCGCCCATGCGCTCGTGCCTGCTGCCGTGTGGCACTCCATTAAATGTAGCATGCTCCACAAGAGCTGGTTGCCGACGTCTAGCTGTCTAGACTGTCGGCCCGTCACCTGCGGGACGCCCCAGAACCACTCGTTGGCGCGCAGCGGGGGGGGGGCACTCGAGACATCTGGCGGCGCCCCACATCTCGCATGGCCCAACCCATGTCTCGATCGTGCGCATGTTGGTCAAATCTCCAAGTTCGCTGTTGATAGCAATGTCGACACTGAGCAGTGCAACTTGAAAATTAGCCGAGGCGGCGTCGCACTCGATCCATGCCCGGACGGCTCCCTCTCCTTCTGCCTGTGAAGAGGTTCCGCGTAAATATCGTGGATCCGCGTATTCAGCAAGGGGCATTTTCAACTGCAGAATGTTCGTTGTCTTGGAGCCTGTGCCTCCAGAACATGTCGGCGAAAATTGGGCCCCCTTGTGCTGGGGGGGCGTCGGTGCGCTTGAAAAGCTACTTGTATTTGCGCAGGGCCTCTGGGGACATCTCGCGGCAAGCCTCTGGGGTCTGGGGGAGGTCCTTCGCTTCCTGGTCGGTGAACAAAACTGCTACAAGCGTGGCCGATGGGTGCAGCTCGTCGGGTGTGCGCTCGACTCTGGCTGGGCAAGCTGCTCTCCATCTGCCCAATCCTGACTTGGTCTGCCTGGCCAGATCCCCTATCCCGGAGGCCCCCAGGAGGCCCCGAAGAGACTTCCAAGAGGCCCCAAAAATCCCCCAACAGGCCCCACAACGACCGGACTGTACGTGGTCTGGGCGTGAACTCCGCGAAGCGAGAGGAATCATTATTTGTGGAACTCCCTATGGGGCCACGAAACGTGTGAGATGTGTGCCGACATGGGCGGGGAGCCGCATGTGGCCGCACCGGCTGGAGCCTCAGGTGGAGCTCCCCAGAGAGGTGGCCGAAATGAACATGCGGTGGGTGGGAAGCTGCATGTGGCCGCACCCGCTGGGGCCTTGGGGCTCCCGATGGAGCCACGGAGCGTGTGAGGGGAGTGCCGACATGGACATGCGGTGGGCGGGGAGCCGCACGTGGGACATGTGGCCGCACCCGCTGGGGCCTTGACTGGAGCTTCCTATGGTTCCACCAAGCGTGTGAGGGGCGTGCCGAAATGGACATGCGGCAAGCGAGGAGCCGCATGTGGACCCTGCCACTGGGGCCTCAAACGGAGCTCTTCATGTGGCCACGAAACGTGTGAAGGGCGCGTCCGAATTGACATGCGGTCAGCGGGGAGCCGCATGTGGCCGCACCCACTGGGGGCATCACCCACTGGGGCCTCAGGTGGAACTCACTATGGGGCCACGTGCGGTGTGCCGAAATGGACATGCGGTGGGCGGGGCGGCTGCATGTGGCCGCACCCACTTGGGCCGTAAGTGGAGCTCCCAATGGGGCCACGAAGCGTGTGAGAGGTGTACCGGCATGGACATACCGTGGGCGGGGAGCCGCACTTGGCCGTACCCACTGGGGCCTTAGGTGGGGCTCCCAATGGGGCCTCGAAGCGCTTGTGCGGTGCGCCGACATGGACATGTAGCAAGCGGGGAGCCGCATGTGGCAGCACCCACTGGGGCCTTAGGTGAAGCGCCAAATGAGGCCACGAAATGTGTGTGTGTGTGAGTGTGTGTGTGAGTGTGTGTGTGTGTGTGTGTGTGCGGTGTGCCGCAATGGACATGCCGTGGTCGGGGAGCCGCATGTGGCCGGGGGCCCACTGGGGCCTCAGGTGAGACTCCCAGTGGAGCCTCGAAGCGTATATGCGGTTTGCCGACATGGATATGCGGTGTGCGGGGAGCCGCATGTGGCCCACAAACTGGGGCCTTGTGTGAAGCTCCCTGGAGAGGTGTGCCGCAATGGACATGCGGTGGGCGGGCAGCCGCATGTGGCCGAATCCGCTGGGGCCTTCGGTGGAGCTCCCTATGGGGCCACGGAGCGTGTGAGGGGCGTGCCGACATGGACATGCGAAGGGCAGATACAGGGATGGCAGGATGGGAGGAGGGGGAGGAGGTGGGAGGCGCGGGGCGCTGCTGATTCGAACGAGGACCTAACACCACAAGATGGTTAGGAAAAGACAAACAAGACGCAAAGACAAGCAGGACGAACAACACGGAAAGTCGCGCCTGGCACGCCAAACCCTTCATGTGGTCCGCGATACCCCCGACGCAGCCGACAGCATCGGGGCGGCGACTCTCTGAGAGGAGCTGCAACGGCCCGTTCATCAGGACGGCCGCCTGCTTCGCGCCGAGAACTTCGAGCAACACCAGCATATCGGAAACGTCGGCGCCGAGTAGGATCGGTCTTAACTTCCCAAAATCGACATAGCGCAGGAGCATCGCACACTTCTCAGGCGAGGTTTGAGTGATCAGAGGGCCCAGCACCCTTCCTATGATGTCAGGGTGCGCCTCGGACATCTGGAGCACCTGCACTATCGTGCTTTGGGGGCCGACGTCCTCAGCCCCCATGGTGTTAAGCAGCTCCACTACGCGGTCCGCACCCACCAGCGGCAAGATCTCCACCAGCGGCTCTGTGCGAGTGTGACGCAGCAGGCAGGCCACGCGCTCTGGATTACGCAGACCCCGCAGCAGGGGCACCACAGCCTCCTTGAGAGAGTGCGGCGGCATCCGCAAGAATGGCAGCACTACCTCCTCCACGTTCTTGGGGGCGACACTGGCCAGGACCGAACACACCACGTCTGGCGGAAGCGCCAGAAGCGCCATGATATTCTCGAGGGGAGCCTGCTGGACGGCGATGGTGGTGAAGCGCGGTGAAGCGAGTCCAGAAATGAGTAAGCGGACTAACGTTGTGTGCACTTCCGTAGCGTTGATGACCGGCGCCACAATATCGCGCAGCTGCCAGCTGCGAAGGCGGCGGAGCATTTCCTTCAAGTGCTCGTGCAAGATCTTCTCGGGCACGGCCTCCACCAGGGCGCGCAGGGCACCCGCCCGCGATGCCGCGAGTATCGCGAGAAGTCTGCGCGGGCTGCGTAGCAGAGGGCCGCTGACGAGGAACCGGCTGCGGCTGGACCGCACCAAATGCGGGTGGTGCCACGAGATGCTGAGCATCGTGAGCAGCCCGGTCCTGCCACCAGGCTCCCTGGGCGGGCATGTCTTTGGCCGTATCAGGTCCCAGGCGTGAGCCTCTGACCAGCCCTCCGGCCGCACCAACACAGGACCTTTGGATACGACGACCCCTGGAAGCCAGTCGCCCTCCTCGTGGCTCCGGTCGCTCACCTCTACCTGGTCTCCGATCTCGAAGGCCTCCGCCGCCAGGCCGCAGACCGCGCCCAGCGCTGCTGCTGGCAGCAGCACTTCGCGGGTCTGCTGGCAAGTGCCTCTCTCTCGAGGGGCCTCTGGCCAGCTTCGCAAAAGCCCGTGTCTGGCCACCGCGGTGGACGTCGCCCCCCAGGCCGCGCAGGGGCAGGCACCCGCTGCGAAGCCAGCCGCCGCCATGGCACAACCAGCCTGCTCAGCATCGCCGCTGAATCCGCCCCCGCCCGATTCATGCAGATGAGCGCATGGACCAGCGGCAAGCAGGCTGGGAAGGATGGCGCGGCCCAAGGCGAACTCGAGTCTGTGCGAGCCACCAGGGACGCACACCGGGCAGCGCGCGCGAGTCGCCCTCGGAAAGGAGGAGGACGGGAACGCCGGGGGCATGGCCGATTCCGCCGTTCGAGGACAGATCCAATACTACCAGCCCTCTGGGCGTAGGTGGCCTAACGTTCCGTCTGTTTCGCACTTTTTTCATTGGAACACTTCCCCCCTTGCTTGTGTACTGGACTTGAGGGCTGGTGGGGGACTTCTTGGGACTCGTCCGAAGCTCCTTTGTGATGACATTGGGCCTATGTTGGGGCTGTGTTTGGGCCCTGTTTGTGCTCTCTTGGAGACTCGCGGGGTCTTTTTAGGGCCTGTTTGTTGAGCGCCTTGGGCGCTTGGCACTCCTTTTCAACATTTGGCATGGTTTGGGGGGCTCTCTCAGGCCTCTTTTAGGGGCCTCTGAAGCCGTCATGGGCCCCTCTTGGGTCCATTTTGTGGCTCTCTTGGGCGGCATTGGGAGCATGATGAGGTCTCTCGAGAGAGCCCATCGGGCGAGGAACACAAGTCAAGGGTAAAATTGCTGTGGAATGCAGCATGTTCCTTTGCATGTGTAGGCGCGTCTTCTTGTAGATACATGGGTAACCGTTGCAAGCACACTTGATTGTGTGCACGAACGTGCTTATACATACACGGAGCGCACGTGCGTACGTGTGCTCAGTCTGTTTGGGAGTGCGAGCTATTGAATGAGTGCGCAGACAAGGGTGACCACGTAGGCGTACGCACACTCGCATATGCGCGCTCATATTGTGCGTGCGTGTGTATATATATATATATATATACACTAGAACCATCGCGCGCGCTCAAGTTCTAGCTAGGCTTGATAGGCTAACTCATGTAATATCATTTTAATCGCTTCTTGCGTCCAGGGGCTCCCTTGGAGGCCCTGCGCAAGCCTCGGAATCCTATAGAAGAGGAAGTGGGGAAACGCAGAAATCCTTAATTCCCTTTAGGTATTCAAAGACTTGATGCCCTCAAAGGCTTCCTGGGTTCCTTTTAGGGAGGTGAGGGGGGTCTGAATATTGGTCTGTTGTGCAAGAGTAGACTGGGGGCCAAACTTGGAGAACAAAAAGGAACTGTGGGATTTCAATGTGTTTCTAATTCCTCGGCGCTGTTCGGCGCTGTTTTTTGTTTGTGCCTCGCGGGTTTTGTTAGCTGGCCAGCTCAGGGGTATGGGATCTTCCGAACCCCCTGGGTGTTCTGGAGGCCTCCTGGAGGCCTAGAGAGCCGTCGGAAGGGTGTCTCGGGCTGCGCAGGAGTGTGCTGGGCCGTTCGTTACGTTCTGGGGGCTCCTTAGGGCCATCTTGAGCTGTCCTTGGGCGTCTTGGGGCCCCCCCGGGAAGCGGGGAGGCGCGGTACCGGCCAGATGTCAGGGGATGTGTGGGATCTCCGAGTAGGAGTCCACTTTGAAACAAAATATGAATTCTGGGACTTTCCTATCTTTTTTTCTCTTCAGAAACCTCGTCTTCGAGGGTTGGAGGCTGAAGCAGGCTGAGGCTGAGGCTGAGGCAGGCTGAGGCTGAGGCTGAGGCTGCAGGCTGAGGCTGAGGCAGGCTGAGGCTGAGGCTGAGGCTGATGCAGGCTGAGGCTGAGGCTGAGGCTGAGGCAGGCTGAGGCTGAGGCTGAGGCTGAGGGCTGAGGCTGAGGCTGAGGCTGAGGCTGGCTGAGGCTGAGGCTGATGCAGGCTGAGGCTGAGGCAGCTGAGGCTGAGGCCGAGGCTGAAGGCTGAGGCTGAGGCTGAGGCTGAGCTGAGGCTGAGGGCTGAGGCTGAGGCTGAGGCAGGCTGAGGCTGAGGCTGAGGCTGAGGCTGAGGCTGATGGGCTGAGGCTGAGGAGGCTGAGGCTGAGGCTGAGGCTGAGGCCTGAGGGCTGAGGCTGAGGCAGGCTGAGGCTGAGGCCGAGGCTGAGGCAGACTGAGGCTGAGGCTGAAGCAGCTGAGGCTGAGGCTGAGGCAGGCTGAGGCTGAGGCTGAGGCAGGCTGATGCTGAGGCAGGCTGAGGCTGAGGCTGAGGCTGATGCAGGCTGAGGCTGAGGCAGGCTGAGGCTGAGGCCGAGGCTGAAGGCAGACTGAGGCTGAGGCTGAAGCAGGCTGAGGCTGAGGCTGAGGCAGGCTGAGGCTGAGGCAGGCTGAGGCTGAGGCTGAGGCAGGCTGAGGCTGAGGCTGTGACTGCGACTGCCGTTGCCACTGCGACTGTCATCGCGAATGCGACTACGACTGCGAGAACAGCAGAATTATATGACTGGTTTCTCATCTGAATCTGAAGGGGAATGCTTCCAGATATGCTCCTACACATCGCTGTTAGGTTGCTTTGCCGGGATAATCTCTTCAGAAACCTCGTCTTCGAGGGTTGGAAACGGGAAAACGCGAGAAGGCGAAAAACATCAGAAAAACCATTGGAAATCAACGATACTACCATATTTGGGCTCTCTCGGAACGGCTCTCGCAGCTCTCTTAGGCTGTTCTTGGAGCCTCGTCGGGATCTTTTTGGGGCCTCTCAGGGATCGGGGGTGTGTTGGGGGCCGTCCCGGAGGCATCTCGGAGGTCGCTCTTGGGCCCATCTTGGGTCTGTTCTGGGGTGGTCTGGGGCTGTCCTGGGCGCCTCTTCGGCAGACCTGGAGCCTTCTTGGCCCGTCTTGGGGCCGTCCTGAGGGTCTCTTGGGTAGTCTTGGGGCGGTCTTGGTCGGCTCTTCGGCGTTCTTGGAGCGTTGGAAGCTCGAAAACGGCCAAACACATAGAAAAAACCAATGGTCATCGACGATTTTGGCCTATTCGGGCCGTCCCTGGACGCCTCTCGGACCTCTCTTGGGGTCTCTTGGAGGCCACCTGAGAGCCTCGAGAGCAGTCGGAAGGCTGACTTGGGCTGCTTGGGAGCGTCTTGGACCATCCTTTCGAATTCTGGGGGCTCAGGGAAGGCGTCTTGGGCCCTCCTGGGGCGCCGTGGAGTCTCCCCATAAAGGACGGGGGAGCGGTACTGGGAGCGTCCCCGAGATGTCGCGGGGAGGTGTGGGACCCGGGGCCGGGAGGGTCGGTATTTAGTAATTTGTTTGTGTGTATAGATATAAGTACGAGCACGAACACGGGGACAAGCAGGTAGCTGCTGGCCTTCCGAACAAGCCGAACCACGGATGAGGTCATCGATCGTCGTACTAGTGTACCGCTCAGAAGGGCACTGGCTAAGATGTATCGTCATACGATTGGGGGCTTCTGGTGCGACTGCGAAATGCGCCAATCGAAATACTCGTCGCTGGCGGCACTGCAACTGCCCTCTGTCCATCGCCATCAGGCCGATGTCACGTCCGCAAAGTCAACCTTGACCAGCCCGTTGCCTTTGGGCTGGAGCGGATCCTCACAGCACTGCACCTCGAAATGATGCCTCCCAACTTGACCTCGAAATGCTCGACGAGGTCGGTGTCGAGCGCCGAATCGTACCATGGCCCACCGGGGAGCAGCCACCGCACGTACCGTCGGCGTGCGCCGCTATTAGCTCGTCTCCTCGCCTCGGCGGCGCGCCCAGGGGGACGCGAGAGGGGGACGACATGCTAAGACGACAGAGCGCCTTCGCCCGCCTGCCTTCGAGAAGCCATCTGTGGCTTCTGAGGCGCCATCTCAGAGGGAGGCGGGGCTTCTAAGACGGCCCCCTGCATCCTTAGCAGGCCGAGCCCCTCGCCTTCTCTCCCCGGGGCGCGCCGCTCGCTTCCAGGTGCCAGGACTCAAAGCGGTAGAGGTCGTTACGCGTGCGCGGGCCGCGGCAAGCGTCGAATCCCAACTTCAATGGAGCCCGAGGAAATTCCGCTACTATTCGTTCCTCGAGCGGGGCTGATACCTGTTTCATGTGTACCGCGTTGCCATCAGGTTCTGACCCCGCCCCTGCCAAGGGAAATCTGAACCGACCCCTCATATGGGCAAGCACGTCGGCCACCGTTCGCCCTCACCGAAGTATGTCAGCACATTGTAATACTTAGAAGCGGTCGACGTCGATCGGCATTGAGCTGATATCTATGTCCGTATGCATAACCTCTTGCGCAACCGTGCTTACCTCACCTCTCCTCTGGCATCAATTCCGCCCAACCTGGAGCCGATGAACACGTGCGCGATCACTACTGTCCTGACAAACTGTTCGACCCGCGTCCAACAATGTCCACGAGGGCTTCCCCACGGGACAAACACGAATGGCAAGTAAGAAAGGGCAGCAATAAGGAAACGAGAGGAACCATACAACAACAAAACCACGTGGTCTGCCACAGAGGCGGCGGCATCCTTTACTTCGGACGGCCTTCCGCTAGCGGAGCCGTCCTCGTGGCATTTCTGACAACTTCTGCGGGCCATCTGCAGGTATCCGCCTGGGGAGAGACGTTAACCCCTGAACCCCTCGAAGGCACGGACTTTTCTAGAGCGTCCCCGCGTGCAAGCAAAGCCCTGGTCTGACAACGCCGCTAGTCTGGCGCGTTTGGGCCCGGCTCGCGCGGCTCCAGAGTTGCCGAGGGCACAGAACGTGCTGGGAGAGCACGAGCACCCCGATGCTACCTACGCTCGCGGGCGCCCACGCGTCGTGTATCCCAACGATGAGAGCCAGAGAAGGAGACGGAAAGGCAGGTGAGGGGCAGAGAGAGGGATGGTGTTTGTGTATGTGCATGTATATATACATACATATATATATATATGTATGTGTATGTATGTATGCATGTACATATGTGTGTATGTATGTCGGTATGCATGTATGTACGCATATACATATGTCTGCCTGTCTGTTTGCCTGCCTGTCTGTCTGTCTGTCTGTCTGTCTGTCGGTCTGTTTGTCTGTCTGTATGAATGTAGACAAGTCTCGATGTGTGTAATGAATATATGTGAATTCGTAACAAAAGCACTATCGCGCATATCTTCTAGCCGACTCCAAAGACGCTGACAAGAAGGGTGCTGCAAAGCCTTTTCGGGCATGGCTCGGTTTGTGGCCGAAGAAGCCCCCCGACCGATACCACGAACCACCGGTCCGTC